CCGTGTACAAGGCAAATGCCTTATGTACTGTACTTTTGCTCTGGCCCTAGGTCTTAATTTTTGGAATTGAGTTCTAGAAGCTGAAGGTAGTTTAACTTTGCATGTTGTTACTTAATCACTGTCAGCTATACTCTGGACAATATTCACTTTCCTGAAGCTTTCCTAGATTTCTAGATTATAGTTTTTTTAAATTTATTTTTCCATTTTTCTTTTTAAATTTAATTTTATTTTTTTAAGTTGTTCACAGTATTTTTTCCATTTTTCACTCTTCATTGTTTCCTTTAAAGATACTTTCTCCTTTGCTTTTCTGTTTTCTCCACGATGCCACTTGGGTTCCTTTATAAATCTCGTGGCTTCCATGATTATTTCTATTTCCTTAGCTTTATTTACCACCTTTGTTTGACACCTATTTAGCTATAACAAAGTTTGATATTTATACTATACTCCTGGACTTATATTTCTTGTCCTAAATTTACTTTTGAGCTCAAGAATGGTATTTCTACTTGCTTTGTGGACATCACAGATATCCTTTTATGTTTCAGAGTCCCAAACTGTATTCATTCTCTTTCTAAAACACAAACCTTTCTTGTGGGTTTTTAGTTTCTTAATGGTGTTATCCTTTATGGACTCCTATATATCATATTAGGGTCTTCTTTTATCCATCCTTCATTTGCATTTGTTTTTGTTTCTACTTTGCCATTAAATATAAAAGTACATTGTATAAGTTTGCATCTTGGTCTTTCCGCTAGCTTTAGCAGTTTAATTTTTTCTGGACTTTGGTTTCTTCTTGTGTAAAAATGATGATAATAGTTATTGCAGATTCTTTAAGAGATTTGAATGAGTTACTGCAATTAGTGCTTCGAATAGTGTCTGGTACATAGTAAATCTAAAATATATTTTTGTTGTCATAATGGTTTTTAATTCAGTATTCAGTTCCACAAGCATTTTTGAATGCCAGGCACTATGTTGGCCCTGGAATTTCAAGGAAGAATAAATAATATGGTTCCTTTTGTTAAAGCTTGATGTAATTGGCAGAGATATCACAAGTATTAATAATTTTAGTATCACATGGCATAGACTCAGACGATTTTAATGTTTGTCACTTAAAATCTGCTCTTACCATCATAATTTCTGCCATTCTTAAAAAAAAGTAGATTATTGAAACATGTATCTTATAAAATTTCCACTGCTTTCTAGCTTACTCTATATTGCTAGCATATTCTTTTATTGTTTTTTTTTTTTTTCCTTTTTGAGTCACACCCAGCAGTGCTCAGGGGTTACTCCTGGCTTTGCACTCAGGAATTAACTTCTGGCAGTGCTCAGGGGACCATATGGGATGCTGGGGATTGAACCTGGTTCAGCTGTGTGCAAGGCAAATGCCCTACCTGTTGTGCTATTGCTCCGGCCCTGTTCTTTTTTTTTTTTTTTTTGCTTTTTGGGTCACACCTGGCAATGCACAAGGGTTACTCCTGGCTCTGCACTCAGGAGTTACTCCTGGCAGTGCTCAGGGGACCATATGGGATGCTGGGAATCGAACCTGGGTCTGCCGCGTGCAAGGCAAATGCCCTACCTGCTGTGCTATCGCTCCAGCCCCATCCGGCCCTATTCTTTTAGTGTTAACTCTTTGGGGGGTCACACCTGACTGCTCTGGTACTATTTGCAGCTTGTTGGTTGGGTTACTTCCAGTAATGTTCAGAACAGTATTGGTGATAAAAAATCCTGACATTCTGCTTGTAAATTGTTTGCTCCAGCCATTTTGAGTGAGACCTGAGGACCTTCTCTCCTGGAAATTCTGTAGCCCAGTTGGCTGGAGGTACAATATGAAGGCCTGGTTTGCATTACTGCTTGGACCCAGTGGTGCTGTGCTGGGGAGGGGTTCCTAACCATACCCGGTGGTGCCATGGGGGCCTCTGAGGCATGTTTCTTCACCTCTGTATTATTTCTCCATCTCCTACCGATGTATTTTTTTTTCTAGGGATGTATTTTTAAAGGCAAATCTAACCTCGCCTTTTTATTGCTTATAAATATCCTTTGTCTCTAGGGTGTCAATAGATAAAATCCACTCCTTAACGTGATATTCAGTGACATTGGTATCATCATCTGTATTTGCCCTTCAAATTAATAGTCTAATTTGTGACCAAGACACTGCGTTTGTAACTTTTCTTCATATTTGACATGTGTTTTTTACAGTGCCATATTTATGTTGGTCGAGCATAGCTGGAAGGAACCCTAAACCCTTCCTAACCTCCCTCTTCCCTGAATACCACTAGGATTCACTCCTATTTAAAAGAACCAAAAACATTGACACTGGAAATAAAGGAGGTTTGCACACAAGGAAAGACAAGATTAGATTTGCCTTTAATGGTCTGTCAGATAGCAGTATAAAGTGAAGTGGAACCTGGTAGTATTTACTTGAAGTTGAATTTAGGGTATGCACAAGTATAGCCAGCATGGTGTTGTACACTTGACTCTCTCTCCCGCACATCTTATTTATTTTTATTTATTTTAATTTAATTTAATTTTAATTTAATTTTAATTTAATTTTTTTTATTGGATCACTGTGAGAACAGTTATAAAGCTTTCAGGTTTAAGTCTCGGTCATACAATGATCAAATACCCATCCCTTCACCAGTGCACATGCTCCCCCACCAAGAACCCCAGTATAACTCCCTTCCCACCCCTCCCCCTGCCTATGTGGCAGATGATTTTCATTTTATTCTCTTTACTTTGATTATATTCAATTTTTTGACAGAAGACCAGCTATTATTATTTGGAATTTCCTCCAACTACCAGACTTGCCGAAAAGACATTCGTAGATTAATTTGTTTTCTATTGCTGATAATGAAGAGCATATGATGTTGCGGGGTCACTGTTGTGATTTTGGATTTCTGGTATTTTAGTAATTAAGTCCAGAGGCATTTCTGCCAGAAGCTGCTGGGTTCTGAGATTGGTTTGTGTGTCTCTGGGATCATGGCCTTTCGGGAATGGAGGAGTCCTTCGTGGGCGGCAACTTGGGGTCTGATCTGGGTGGGGGCAAGGGCCAGTTCCGCCCCCCCCCCCCCATCTTGAGAGGCCCCATGTGCTCTGTCACTGTAAGCCCGTACTTCTCTGTCCGATAGGCTCTGAAAGATGGCGGTCACCATGCTGCCGCTGAGGAGGAAAAGGGGAAGGGACAAACACCGTTCCTCTCCCGGGTGGCACGGGTCCATAGCTTAGTTCACAGTCCAGAGGCATTTCTGCCAGAAGCTGCTGGGTTTTGAGATTTTTTTTGTGTGTCTCTGGGATCAGGGCCATTTGGGAGCCACATCCTGTTTTTAATAGGAAGACCTCTGCTCTCCTCTTTTCTGGAACTGCCTTTGAGACTCCTATATAAGTTGCTTTCTTAAATGCCCTGTGACATTTTTGTAAATACCTATTTATTTATTAAAATTTTTACTTAAGTTTTCACTCACCCAGTACTTTGTACCCATCTTCTTATTTTCACTGTTTATTTCATACTGTGTCCAATACTTTTTTAGTGTCCATGTATATTATGTAATCCCTGAGCCTACTGAGTCTTTTTAAGATTTTATAAAATTGTCTCCTATTCTGCCGATTTTCTATAAGCATAGTTTCTATTTATCTTTAGCTGCGAGTTTGTAATGGTGAGAGAGAATATCTGGGTGAAAGGGGTCAATGGTTAATATGACCCAAGGGCAAAAAGGAATCCTTTAGTCCTTGTTGTGTGTGAAAGAGGAAGAACAACTGAACCACACCTTTCCTCAGTTTTTCACACTTGGCCAGAGACAATACTGATGAGGGGGTGGTAGTTGTAATGAAGAAGAAATTGTTAGCCACAGCGTATGCCAGCAGCTATTTTGGTACTTTTCCCTTCCCATTGAGGGTGTCATGTCATGTCCCATCCCCTCCCCTAGGTGAATATTGGATGTCTATGGGAGTTCTGTCCATGTGTCCCATGCTAAGATGAAAACTGCTCTTTCATTATGTTTGGATTACCACCTCTTAAGAGTATTCAGCCAGGATCTCTCTGCCTTTGGAGAAGCTCGTCTTCTCTCTTGAGTGCATACTCTCTCTCTCACTTTCTCTTTCCCCTTCCTCAAAATTTCTAAATAAAAACTGTTTTTACTTAAAAAAAATGTTCAGAACTGGGGATCCTGATTGAACAGTTTATAATTATTCTCTTATGTTCATACATTAGCAACTGAGTCTCTCGGTATTGCTCTGAATACTGGGAACAGAGTAACAGATTAGATAAATAAACTCTGCCCTTGCTTACATTTGGTGGTGAAAGTGAACAAATAAATAAGCAAATAATTTCACATAATGGAAAATGGTAAGAAAGTAGGATTAGGAAATTAAAGATTAAAAATGGGTAGATGTGCTATTTAGATGATATTTTAAAAAGGACTGAGTGGATGGAAGAAATAAAAGACAAGAAGAGTGTTGTAGGAAGAGGAAGTAGTACGTATTTAAGAAGGCTTATATGAAAGAAGTATGAGAAGGATGGTAAGAGGTTATAGTTGATTCGATTATACGGGGTTAAACTGAGTGATTTGGATTATTATTAGTGTGATAGGAAATAATTGAAGGGCATTTAATAGAAAAGCATTGATGTTTGCATATGTCCATGGGTTAAAAAATGGTACATTGGTTGCCTTGAATGACTCGCAGGGAAGACTGAAAGCATAAAGACAAATTGGAAGCTATTGTAGTAATAGACCTGTTTTAAGAATGGCAATGATAAAGTTTATTGATGAATTGAACATTGAAAGTAAAAAGATACAGCTGAAGTTTGGCTTGTGAATGTAAGTATCATGTATTAAAAGAGGCTGGGGGAGTAACAGGTTTGATGGTAGAAATGAGTTTTGTGTTAGATATAATTGAGTTTATATTGAGTGCTGAATTTTCAGTGGAGTGGTGGTTTTAAATTCTTCCTCTTGGAGAACACAGACTGTTAATCCTTTCTCTCTCTGTTAATCTCTTCTCTCTCTCCAAATTAGATCTGAAAGTCTGGACTGTGCAGTGGCCTCTGGGCTCATCACTCTAGCCTATTCTATCTTCTTGTTCCATGGCTAGCTACTGGCTACAGACCGGATGAAGCAGGTTGGAGACAGAAGTGGAGAAGGCCTCCAGCTGGTGGATTCTCCAAGTGTGGTGGTCTGGCTGCTGGCCTTGCCCAGCCTGCCTCATGGAGAGGATGAACTGGCTGAGCAGACTGGCCTCCAGGGGACAGGGGCCCCGTGCCCCTCAAGGGACCAGTCCGCAGGCCCCTGTCATGGCTGACCCTGAGACATGCCTCATGGTCTTTAAGAATCACTGGTCCCAGGTAAGAAGCTGTATGCCAAGGGACCTAAACTAGTGACTGTTCCAGGCTTTCTAAATAGTGTTCTCCTGTCATACATGTAAGATTCCTTTTGTGTTCCATCTCGTGTCCCCAGGTGGTACGGATCCTGGAGCGACAAGGCCCTCGGGCAGCGGATGATCTCAGTGCTGTTCGCAACCACACTTACCAGATGTTAACATTGCTGGCAGAGGACCGCGCTGTCTCCTCGGTGAACCCAGCCCCTGGGCCCCTGCTGGAATTTGCTCTACGTGAGGATCTGCTAACTCGAGTGTTAACGTGGCAGCTTCAGTGGGATGAGCTTGGGGATGGGGTCGAGGAACGGCGTGCTGAGCAACTGAAACTGTTTGAGATACTAGTGAGTGAAGCGCGCCAGCCACTGTTGCGGCATGGTCCAGTTCGTGAAGCTCTGCTGACCTTGCTGGATGCCTGTGGCCGCCCGGTGCCCAGTAGCCCAGCACTGGATGAAGGCCTGGTGCTACTTCTCAGCCAGCTGTGTGTGTGTCTGGCCCGGGAACCTTCATTACTCGAGTTCTTCCTGCAGCCGCCACCAGAACCTGGAGCTGCCCCTCGTCTTCTCCTTTTTTCTCGCCTTGTCCCCTTTGTCCATCGAGAGGGCACCCTGGGTCAGCAGGCCCGAGATGCTCTACTCCTGCTCATGGCACTGTCAGCTGGGAGCCCCACTGTGGGCCGCTACATCGCAGATCACTCTTACTTCTGCCCGGTTAGCACCTCCTGGGATGCGGGGTGGGTGGTTATGGGAGAGACATGGGTATGGTTTGGACACTCAGTAGTATCTACTGAGGATCCTAATATGGAGATGTGGAAGGTTGTGTACCAGGAAGCGGCCCCCTCATTTTGAAAGTAGTATGTGGAGTAGGGTAGGGTTGAAACATGGGATTAACTGGGCAACAATTGAAAGTCTTTATGGGAGTGTTCCTAAGCGATTTCCTGACACTTTGGGTAATGAAAGACCAGCTCTGGTAATAGTTCTTCCTCCTCTTGCCATAAAAATGCTAGGTTAAATGCTAGGTCATTTTTAATGTTTTTATTTATTTTTATTAATTTTAAAATTCCTCTATGCCTTTGGTAACCTATTGTTGGCGATGGCCCCTTAGGTGCTGGCCACAGGGCTGAGTGCCCTGTACTCCTCACTGCCTCGAAAGATTGAGGTTCCAGGGGATGATTGGCACTGTCTACGACGGGAGGACTGGCTGGGAGTGCCAGCCCTTGCACTCTTCATGAGTTCCCTTGAGTTCTGCAATGCAGTCATTCAGGTGGGATTGGGGTTTCCAGGTCTGGTCCTTGATCATTCTGGGAAGATGGGGGAGGAGAGGTTACATTTGGCCAAGTTTTCCTCTTCTGCCATTTTGGGCATAGGGTTTCTACTTGGACTATTATATTCCTTTCCCTCTAGTAGATTTCCTCACAATCCTCCTTTCTCTCTTATACCTCTTTAGGTGGCCCATCCGCTGGTGCAGAAGCAGCTGGTGGATTATATTCATAATGGATTCCTGGTGCCTGTCATGGGTCCTGCCCTGCACAAGGTGAGTGTCATGTGTGATGAGGTAGATCAGAACGCTAAGCTTGAGTGGTGGTAACCTCAAGGCCAGAACAGTGGAAGGCAATGGACTGGTTGGTGCTCCCTTCTATCTTTTCTATCTTTTCCTGGTTCCTCCTTAAAATTCAGGACAAATGGTTTGATATATGTTCAGGAGAACTCCTAAATTTTCATACTTCTCCTTTCTTTTATATAGACCTCTGTGGAGGAGATGATTGCCAGTACTGCATATCTGGAACTTTTTCTACGGAGCATCTCTGAGCCTGCCTTGCTCCGTACTTTCCTGCGATTCCTGTTGTTACATCGGCATGACACCCACACCATCCTTGACACCCTTGTTGCACGTATTGGCAGCAACTCCCGGGTATGGCCCCTACCTCTGTCCTGGCTTACCTGGGTGAGCCATCTTTTCTCTGACCTTTGTCTGAGAGGGTGTTCCTGCCCTCCTTTGTCTTCAGTAATCACTTCAAAATTAGGTGGTATTTATTTTATTTATTTTAGTTTTTATTTTAGTGAAACACCATGAGATACAGTTGTAGACTTACAAATGTTATTTATTTTTTAATTGAGGCACAGTAATTTATAAAATTACTCATGATTGAGTTTCAGGCATACAGTGTCCCAACACCAATCCCTCCACCAGTGTCCCCAATTTTTCCTCTCATTCTTCATCCTTCTTTTATGACAGGCACCTTGGTGTTTACTTGTTCGCATGAAAATTTAACCATTTTGGGTACAGATTTTCAGCTGTTCTACTTTTAAATAACATTACTCAGTATGTATTAATGAAGTGGTCCAATAATAGGTTCCTTGTGCAGTATATCACACAGTACCTTTTTTGGATGACTTTGGATGTTCATCATGACTTAAAGTTTTGCTGTTGTGCTGAACTTGTAATGTAGCATTGATTTAAGTTTTGTTTCAGCTGTCCATGTAACTCTGTGGCCTGCTATGGCTTATTTGAGATTGGCTCTGTACGTTTCGTGTTGCTTTGATACTTGCCAGAGATTACTGTTCTGCTTATCTTTATTCCCTTTGGATTTGCTGCATTTGAATTGCTAAAATTTGTGGAGCCCATCTACTTTTTTACCTACTTACATTCCTTCTAAGCATTTTATTAAACGACAACTCTTATACCATACTGTTTACTGGTAATCGTAAGCATAGAAGACACAGATGATTTTCTAGAGCTTCCTTAAAGGTAGCAAGCAGACACATGAATTAAATATTTGAAAAGTGTGGTCTTTGTTATACAAAATTAAACAGGGGGCTTAGAAAACAAGAGGATTCATAAAACTTGTCTGTGTAGGTAACACTGAACTGAGTCTTAAGGGTTATGGGAGAGCCTAAAGAACAACCAGGGGAACATTTGAGGCATGGGAGAAGCATGCAAAGGACATCGAAAGGGCAAAAACAATGTATTTGGGGAAATGAAAGACTAGTGTGACTGACATTGTGACATTTTTTTGATTCTTCTTCATTGTTTTAAGTCTTTAGAATTTATTTCCATTAGTCTCTCATTTTGTTCTCTGACATCAGGTGCCTTTTATATTTTGGTGGTATTTTTTTCTCCTTTCCATTCTTGATTCTTAGATGTATTGAATCTCTTCTGATTTCAGGATGCTGAGGTTAAACAGAGCTATTTTCCTTTCCATTGTTTCATCCTATTATTCTTGATTTTGTCACTTGACTTTGTAATATTGTAACCTTGTTTTTGTGTCTTAATGTGAATCTTGTAGCCAGTTTACTGCCTGATTCTATGTTTCATATTGTTGTGACAGATTACCAGAAGAGTAGTGGTTTAAAACAAAATGGTGTTTTTATTTTACAGTTCTGTAGGCATATGTATGACATAGATTTCACAATTAAATTCAAAATGTTAGCTACACTGTGCATTTCTTTCTAAAGTCCCTAGGAGAAGTTTCATTTCCTTGCTCACTTGGGTGGTTGACATAATTAAATTCATTATAGTTATAGAACTGAGATTCACATTATCTTGCCTATTAGCAGAGAACTATTGTCAGTTTCTAGAGACCAACCAAATTCCTTGGCTTGTGACCGTCATGTTCCATCTTCAAAACTATTGGTGATCTATTGAGCATCTTTGTCCTTCAAATCTTTTTTTTTGATCCATCTGGAAAAGAATCTACTTTTGAGAATTCACTTGAATAATCTAGGCTAATATCCCCATGTTCATTCTATAACCTTAATTGTATCTATAAATTCTCTTCTGCCATGTAAGGTGAAATATTTACAGGTTTGGAGATTGGGACCTGGACATCTTTGGCGGGTGATTTTTGTACCTACCACACAACCTTCCAGTGAGTCTTAATATCATCATTACAGTTAAAACGGTAATTTAGGGTAACCCCTCTGGACCTTAATTCTGTCCAGAATGTGAATTACTATCTCATCTTTTTTTTTTCACTATGGTTGGCTTTTAATTTTGTCATAGTTATTTAGCAAATGATATGCACCTAGACCCTGTTAGACCAAGTTTAAACTAAGGCCCAATAGTTGTATTCAGGGAATTTGGAAGTATCTGATGTGTTTGTCATAAGAGAATTATAGATATGGGGATTCAGAAGGGGAGTTTGCATATCTCTGTTCCCTTAGCCCCTCTGGAGACAACTGTTCTTTTCTAAAACAAAAGGTTTCTGGACCCACCTAGATTTCCTTTTCCTGTCAGCTGCCCTTGAGCTTTTATTTATTTTGCCTTCTAAGAGAGAGATATACTAGTATTGGAGAGGTGACTCAGACTTCCCACTTCCCAGCTGGGATTCTTTAAGGTCCCCTCTGGTTTCTTCTTGTTCACTTATTGTGCTGCTGCAGTTCCTGCTGACAGACATTCACTTAAGCTATGTTGCTCTTGCCTTTTGTTAGTCATTCACTAATTTCCCAGTATTTCCTAGGGCCTCTTTTCTCATGTACTCATTCCATTTAAGTATTGCTTAAGAGGAGACAGGGCTCTCTGGAGATAGGTATTTTACAGCCAGCAGTCTGCTGACATGCACATGGTCTAGAGGAGATACATAGACCTGACACAGGGTCCTTTCTGTGGTCCGCATGCATGGTGAAGTCTTGCTTGCAAAGATAATGTGATCATTTACTTAATACTCGAATGACTTGTATATTAGGTCCTATGTACAGTATCCCTCTAGGAGTAGTGGTTTGGGCCCCGAGCTGGGGGAGTTCCCATTTGTCTTTTGCAGCTAGTTCTCAGGTTCCAGTGGGTGCAGAGCTAAAGGATAGCTTGATCCTGAGCATAGAAAACTTAACAGTGACTCCCTCTATTTCTTCCTTCTCCTTTCCCCCAGCTCTGCATGGTTTCTTTGAGTCTCTTCAGGACCTTACTGAACCTCAGCTGTGAGGATGTTCTGCTGCAGCTGGTTCTCAGGTACCTATGGGGGCAGAGCCAAAGGACAGCTTGATCCTGACCATCAGGGCCCTCAGGGCCTTGTACATTGCTGGGGGTTCTTTGGTTGTATGAAGGTTGCTCATGTGTTCCCTCCTGGAACTTGTGACCTTATAGTTTCAAATACTTTCAGCTTCCTTCCTGATCTCTCACCCACCTTCCTGACCTACTGTTCCCTTTCTTCTGTCTTTTCCAGGTATCTTGTCCCATGTAATCATGTGATGCTAAGCCAGAAGCCAGCAGTGCGTGATGTGGACCTATATGGACGAGCAGCTGACAAATTTCTCTCCCTAATCCCACGCTGTTGTCGGCACCGTGCCCCCAGCCCACCCCATCCAGAGCATGCTTCTTGGGCACGAGGTGGGCCTAGCAGAGAGGAAGGGAGAAGGGAGGACACCACGGGTATGACCTGGGTTCTGGGGGAGTATAGCAGGAAGGTGGGGCTAGGGTGAGGGGAGGAAGGTGACCATAAAAGTAAATCTTTAACTCCACAAAGAAATTTAATTTCTGAACAGAGTTGTCTCTCCTTTTGACTTTTGTCCAAACATTCTTCACTTTCATTATTTCTTTGGTGTTGGGGTATTGTGTTTAGGTGGGGGAGGGGGGTGTGAGGGAGGTGACAAGGGAAAACAGTTTGAAAAATGAATAATTAGTTCTCTAAAGTTGTGTTGCTGCCTCTTGATTGATTTCTCTTAGTCACCTTTGGGCTGGAGCAATAGCACAGCGGGTAGGGCGTTCGCCTTACAAGCGGCCAACATGGCCGACCCGAGTTCGATTCCTCCGCCCCTCTCGGAGAGCCCGGCAAGCTACCGAGAGTATCTCGCCTGCACGGCAGGGCCTGGCAAGCTCCCCGTGATGTATTCGATATGCCAGACACAGTAACAACAAAGTCTCCAATGGAGACGTTACTGGGCCCGCTCGAGCAAATCGACGATCAACAGGAGGGCCTTTACCTTTTACCTTTAGTCACCTTTAGTTTCTTATTCCTCCTCTGGGACCCCTATCTTTTTGATTTCCTGTTTTTAACTGTTTGCAGGCCCTGGCAGCCCAACTGTTGATTCTTCTTCTGTGGTGACAGTACCCCGACCGTCCACACCATCCCGCCTGGCCCTCTTCTTGCGACAACCGAGCTTGAGTGGCTCTGAGTCTCCAGCCGCAGCCCCTCGCTCACCAGGGCTTGCTGGATCTCCAGCCTCCAGCCCTGGCCGACGCCCCAGCCCTGCAGAGGAGCCTGGTGAGCTGGAAGACAATTACCTGGAGTATCTGCGTGAGGCACGCTGTGGTGTGGACCGCTGTGTCCGAGCCTGCCGAACCTGGTCTGCCCCCTATGATGGCGAGCGACCCCCTCCTGAGCCCAGTCCTGTTGGCTTCCGGACTAAGAAACGCAGCCTACTGCCTGAGGGGGAAAGAGACAATGTGGGAGAAGGAGAGGAGGAAGATCTGGGGAGTGGGGGGCTGGTTGGGGTTGCAGGGGAGGGCTCCAGCCACTTACCCCCTCCTCAGCTTAATGGAGTATCAGGACCATGGCTTGAGGGGACCAAGAAGGTTCGGCGGGTGCCACTGGAGGTTGCTGGGGAACTGCTAGAGGGCATCTCTGAGGGCATGGCGGGACTAGAGAGCTTTGGACAGGAGCTCCGGGAGCTGGAGGTGGCATTGAGCAATGGCGGGGCTGGCTCAGAGCTCCCCCTAGAGCCTCCACTACCTCTTGAGGAGGAGGAGGCCTTCGAGAGCTTCACCTCTCCCCCTGAGCCCCCAGCCCCCTTCCTCAGCAGCCCATTGAGGACTCTCAACCAACTGCCAAGCCAGCCCTTTACTGGTAAGCTACTTAGCCTAGGTCTTTTCCTTTGTGTATTCTGCATGTTGTCAACATGTGTTTCTGCGATTTCAGAGACTTCTTGGCTATGTTGTTTTTGTGTACTTGCTTAGCTCATCCATTTTGCTTGGGTCTCCCTTTCAGATCCATTCCATGCTATAACTTGTGCCTGTCTGTCTTTCACATCTTTCATGCTTGTGATGGTTTGGGTATTGACTTCTGAGCTCTGTACATGTGTCCTGCGTGCATGTTCCTCTTCCCTAGTCTGACCATTTTTCTGGGATTTGTTATTGGCATGTGTGTATATATATTTGGTTGTTTCTTGGTAAATCACAGCAATATATCTGAACAGTATGAGTGACAAACTTGCTGTCCTGTATGAGAAACATCTATAAACCATGCTGTTCCAGGTTGTTCCCATTGATATGTTTGTCTGGGTGTTAGGTTGTCTGTCAACTCTCTGTGGCCTGGGATCAGCTCTTCTGATGGATGTTCTTCCTTTACTTAGGCCTGGCTCCTGCTCTAATGGTCTTCTCAGAAAAGGATTAGATTTCAAGTTTCCTCCATTTCACTTCTTATATCTTGTTGATTGCTGTGACTACCTAGTTAATAGTTTTTTAAGGATTTATGAGTAGGGGCTATAAATGTATGTATGTATGTATGTATGTATGCATGCATGCCTAACCATGTATGGAGGATGTGGCTTAGCCGCTCACAAGTGAGATCCTGTTTAATATTTGGTGGAACAAAGCACACACACACACACACACACACACACACACACACACAAGATTTATGATTAGTAGTAGTAAGGATGAAGCAGGTAGAACTAAGTACCTTTTGAGACCAAATGACAGGACTTCCCTAAGCTGAATTCTTTGGGCTCACCAGGGTGCCCCTAGAGTTTTACTTCTTCTGAGCATCTGGGGTCATTCTTTTTTTTTTTCCCTTAATTTTTATTAGTGAGACACCATGAGGTACAATTGTAGATTTACAAGTTTTGTGCTTGGGTTTCAATTATACAACTCTTCTTTGTTTTTATTGAAGAGCCTGTTCTCATATCAGCTCCCAACAGACTTTAGTTCAGATATGGACTTCTTACACAAATACTGACTTGCATCATGGTTGTCCCTTTCTTTCCCAGCCAGAACAAAACAAAACGCATATTTCCTCTGGAGATTAGTACAGTGGCAAAAGCTAAGACTGTAGCCCTTGTATTAAATATACTTTGACTTAGCATTCCTTTGATCAATATGCTTTGACTTAGCATTTGATCTATGTCATTCAACATGTAAATCACTTAATGATTCAGGTACATTTTGAGAACTCAGGAAGTTTTAGCTCTTTATTGGAATATCATCTCTTTGATGCATTGAAGGTTTGAAAGTTCACCAAGATAACCCGCCCATCTATCTTTCAGCTGTTTATAGTCAAGTAGTGATGCTTGAATAATTCATATCTTAATAAATTTTAGGTTTTGCTGCTATCTTGTATGCACAGAATTAGGACTTCTGCTCTGGAGTTTTAGCATTTCTTTTTGCACAAGACAGAAATAATCTGTATTTCTTTAGCTTTTCCGTTATCCTTTACTGCTCAGTACTGTATTCACTGATGGTTCTGTCTTCTTTTCTTCATAAACTCACAAGTTTCTGGATTTTTCTGTTGTAAATAGGTTTGTAGGAAATGAGAGGAAATTTTGTTTTGTGTTTTATTTTAGAGTCAAACTAGTGCTGTTTAGCTATCTAGTCATGTGCATCCAGGGTAGGAAATATTCTAGGATCTTTTTTAGGATTCACTGCCTCTTACCATTCTTGTCTTAATTTGCAATCCTTCAGCACACTCTCCTCCACAAATCCTTGATCAGACAGTGTGTGGTTCTAGAGTTTTTGGTTGAGGACAGTTCTTCCTGCAAAGCATTCTAGTTCCTCTTGTTATCCTCCTCCTTGCCAAAGAATCTCACCTGAAAAATAATTTATTTCTGGCCTTGAATTGTTATTTTCTTTATAGATTCTATCTTTTCATTCTGAGGTAATGAAGAATTTAATTTGACAATTAAAACTACTAACCCCCAAATGACCCATACTCCCCTTTACTGCCTTTGCTACAGTACTCTTTCCTTGCTTGCTTTCTGGCCCAAGTCTATTTCCCTTTGTTCTATGTGTAACCTTATTTTATTTATTTATTTATTTATTTATTTATTATAAATGTTTTGGTCCAGTCATATTGCTGCTTGTTCTTCTGTTGTACTTAAAGAATGTTATGTAGCTTACAGTTATTGAACAGTTTCATGTTGCTAGATCCTAAGGCTAAATGTTTTATATCGATATCTTTTTGATCCTCTTAATAGCCTTGTGAGGTGAGTATATTTGATTATTCTAGGTAACTGATTTTGTGAATTTTGATTTATCCAATAACTTAATTAGTAAAGTTAAATTTGGAAGCCTAGTCTGACTCTAGAAACTACGATCTGGCTCTTTGGCTTGAATGTGTGTAAAGCTGGCATCTGGACTCTTCTAGGTTCATGTGCTGTTTGCTGTGTTATCTTCTCCAGAATTGGTATTCTTGGGATTTTTAGAGACTGATAGACAAGTAATTTCATCTAGTGTGGGGTCTTTTGTTGTGGGGAGGAATGCGTGTGATGTGCATTGTGTTCAGGCCTTGTATCCTTGTGCCTACCCCATCCCCTCAGGCCCCTTCATGGCTGTGCTCTTTGCCAAACTCGAGAACATGCTGCAGAACTCCGTCTATGTCAACTTCCTGCTGACGGGGCTGGTGGCCCAGCTGGCCTGTCACCCCCAGCCCCTGCTCCGCTCTTTCCTGCTCAACACCAACATGGTCTTCCAGCCCAGTGTCAAGTCCCTGCTGCAGGTGTGCGATGCATGCATGCATGGGTGCGTCCAGTCTCCATGGTGGGCCAGGCCCGCAGTTGGAGTGACCCTGGGGGTGGCTGGCAACATGCTTAGTGGGTCTAGGGAGAGCTGTGACAGTTGAGAGCCACTCAGAAATGTCATGAAGTTGTGTTTTGTAGGTGCTTGGCTCTGTGAAGAATAAGATTGAGAGCTTTGCAGCGTCCCAGGAGGACTTCCCAGCACTGTTATCCAAAGCCAAGAAGTACCTCATTGCCCGTGGCAAGTTGGATTGGGCAGAAGGTCCAGCAGCAGGACCTGCTCTCCGCCGCTCTGATCCCCTAGGTGAGGCCTGCCTAGTCGCTTCTTTGCCTACATTCCCTAAGATAGCTTAACCAGACTATTCTTATTTTGTATGTATTTTGTTCCTGGGCCACAAGTCACTGTGCTTAGGGTTTACTTTTGGCTCTACATTCAATAATCATTCCTGGAGGGTTCAGGGGCTCATATGTGGTGCTGGGAATTGAACCTAAGTCTACCACATGTAAGGCAAGTGCCTTACCTGTTGTACTATCTCTCTGATCCTGTAATTTAATTTTGAATTATCTTTTATTAAGGATAAAGGCTTACGTGGGAATTGGGGAGTTGCAGAGAATTGAATCTTGATGTTTCTCCTCAGATTTCTAGGTCAGAAGAGAAAGCATATTTCTGTCTACTAATATCTTAATCAGCAGTATCAGCAAAAACTGCTTTGGAGTTGGTGACAGAGGCAGGGACCTTGTGATCTCCAGGTTGAGACAATGTTGTAATTTGATAAAGGAGATGACATTTGTCATGGACCTTGAGAAATGGGTAGGCAGAAGTCTCAACAAAAGACTTTTTGTTGAGAAGAGAGCATGTACTATTTAAAGCAAGGTCTTTAGAAGTTGGTAGAATACTTGTTAGTAAGGCTGACAGGATTTGGCTGGAATAGCAGATTGTCAAGAGCAGAAGATGGATGAGGGAGAAGCTGTGGTCTTTTGGGCAGTGAGAAATTGGAGATTCTTAGATATGCTAGTGACTTGAAGTATGTTAATTCATGTGCTGGTTGCATTAGAGCCAAGAGGAGACAGTGTCAGAAAGTATAGTCAGGATATTTAGTCAGGATACTTCTTTCGTAACACAGACATAAGCTGTAGATTTGAAGTAGAATAGAATATGGAAAGGAAGACTTTGGTAAGTTGGAAATGGAAGGGAAGCTTTGGCAGAATTTGGTAGTGATTATGGACTTTTTAGAAAGAGGGAAAAACATGAAGTTTTAAATCTAGATCTTTTATCCCGAGGCTGTTCATATGCATCCAGCATTATCTTTGGTACCAGGAGCAAGGTCTAAAATGTGCTCTCCACTTTCATAGAGATGACAGTCTAGAGAGTGAGGAGAATGTCATTACCGAGATGGAGCAAGGGTCTACAGGTGGTGGAAGTAGCTGTATTCCGTGCCTTAGGAAAGGATTACTTCTGGCTAGGAAACGGTTGTTTTTCCTCCTCCTTTGAGTCAAAGGAGAACGCAGAGAAATAATTTGTATCAGTAGAGTTGTGATGCATGCAAGGGGAGGTTAGAAGGTTGGAGTCATCTTTTATTTGCTAATCAAAGTAGGAGGTAGAATAATATTCTGGGAGTAAGAGTAGAGGGAATATGGGAACTTAAGGAGAAAAGTATATGGATTGAGACAAGAATACTAGGAGGATTATTATTACCTGTGAAGACATAGCTGAAGTTTCTAACATGATTTCTTTGTGGTATAGTATGAGCATTTCTTGCTTCCGCAGGCCTGGTACTATGTTCATGATAGCATACCCAGGGGTAAAGACATATAAGGCACAGTCCATGCCCTTAAGCCCAGAGGTTTGTTATTGGATAGAAGACATGTAAACAAGTCAATATTGAAATATAGTGATAAAGATAATAAAATCGGAGGTCAGTGGAGAAGTCAGAAGTGGTTTCTTAGCTAGGTGGAGATTATGAAACTAAAACTAAATGATGAAAATAATGGGGATAGCAGAACTAAGGTAGGAGAAACTATAAATGAATGAAAAGAGCCTGGAAGGTTCCAGGAATAACAGATAAATTGCAGTGTAGAGCGTTTTGAGAAGAGGTTGAGCTTGATCACAAAGGGATCTTTATGCCATCTTTAACAGATGTCTTGCATTTCTCTAGTCAATATTAGAGGTAGATAATTGGAAAGGAATAGGACCTAGGCCCAAACAGATTTAGAACGATGCATCTAGGGCTAGGTATCCAGGCATAAAGTTAGAGGAGAAAGAGGTTATTTGAAATATCTCATTTGAATTTCAGCAGATAAGAAATTGGCTGTAATGGTGGGGTAGCATTGGTGAATATAGGAGGGGGCCTGGTAGAAAGTGCAGTGATGGTACAGGAGAACAGATTAGAAATGATAAAGTGATTGCGTATGTAGTCCCTGTGGGTGTGGAAGAGCTGAGTATTTCAGGGGTTACTCGGGTGTGTAGTGGTTAGGTGGTAGGTGGGTGACTAGTAGGGTGATGGGAAGCATGAAGTAAGGTTATGTTGTGGATCTAGGAGAAGTAGATTGGTGATGGTAGAATAGTGATTAGAAAAGCAGTTAAAAGAGAGTGCCTCAGAGTGGTGTCATAGAGAAGGAAGAGATCTTTACTGGGAATGAAGCGTGAAAGCTTGGGTTGTTGAAAAGGTTATGGATGATAGCTGATCGGGTGTGGGTAGGCAGAATAGAACAAAGAAGTCAAGACAGGCAGCGTTTGGGTATTAAGAGTGAGAAAGAGCTTTTCTCTGTTTTCATCCTTGGAGTCATCTGGAGGGATGGGACAGGAAATGGTACGAAGAGAAGTTCATTAATCTAGGGGCTAGGGAAATGTCCCAGAGTAGGTTTTTCCAGATACTCGCACCTTTATGATACCCTGTTTCTCCCCAGTGAAGAGCCGGAGGCCATCCTTGGGGGAGCTGCTTCTGAGGCACACACACAGCCCTACCAGGACCCGACCGGCGGCACAGCTGGTACATCAGCCGGGGAGAGATGGAGCAGGACATGGCCTAGGTGGCAACTCCCCTGGGACTTCAACTCCTATTCTTCCTCCCCGGGGAGGTGCCCCTGAGCGCCAAGGTGAGGCTCTGCGAGTCAAGAATGCTGTCTACTGTGCAGTCATTTTCCCTGAGTTTCTCAAGGAGTTGGCTGCCATCTCCCAGGCCCATGCTGTGACCTCGCCTTTCTTGTTGGAAACTTCAGAGGAGGGATCTGGCCCTCCCATCTCAGGATCTGGGCCCCTCAATCCTTAACTTTATTCCATGGACAATCAGGGCCGTGAATGGCCTAGGCAGGGGCCCAGGTACAGGCCCCTTTTTATGTTTGGAGGCAGTGGCAAGAAGACTTTTTAATTTATTTCAGATGAATGTTTTATGGAGAACTTGCAATATGTATAAAAGGGAAATCTCTATTTTGTGCTCATTCTTCTTTTCTACCCTTTTGCTCTTGATTGGGACCCCAAGAACGTTTTACAAAGGTGGGGAGGTAATCTGTGGTATTTTCTCTCTGGTGATGCAACCAGTGTTTCAAGATGTTCATTAAGCCATTAGAGGGTGAGGGTGGGCATTAAACTAGGGGAGAATGTGGGGACTTTCTCCCTTTTCCAGACCCTTGAGGGAAGAAGCATGAATGGGTCCAGAATGCTTTGGGGAGCAGCAGCTGATGTTTATTGGGGACCAGTATCCCTATGCCAGATCTTAGGGGCCTTGCCCCCTGCATTTCTTGCCTCCACTTCAGTCGTCGCTGTCGAACTCCGAGGACAGACCCTGCAGCAGGGGCAGGGACATGGAGTGCCGGTCTGGGTCCCCGGGGCCCCCACCCTGGACTCCTGGTGCGGGGTTGCGGGGGCTGAAGAGCCAGTTCTCTGCCAGGGTTGGGGATAGTCACAGCTTTACTCATGCCCTGGTCTTTCTGCCTCCCTGGTCCCTCCCTCTGGTCCTCCTTTGTGTCCAACCTCTTACCCAGCACCATGCTTTCATCCCAGCCTCCCCAGCACCCTTCTCCTTTGCTCTCACCCACCAGAATCCAGTACGGAGTTCTGGGTGGTCACACATTCCTGGGCTATACTTCCAAGGCCCGCTCCCTCCACCTTATCCCAGGCCTCACATCATCCTTTCCCTTAGCAGTACCTGATAACATCTGGGGCCCCCTTCGGAAAGGATTTCGGCCCTTGTTGGAAACTCTTGTGGGTCTGCCCTCTGGCCCTTCCTGGGGAGGTGGTGTAGGTGGGGCTGGAACAGGTAAGGGCACATCAGCGACTTCAGGACTATCAGGTGTTGGTGCCAGGGATGGCACGTTGCTGAGGTTGGGTCTGACCCATTTGGCTCCTTGGGGCAAGGGATCTTTGGCCAGGGATTTCTGTGGTCCCAGTACTCCTTTAGGCTGCAGTGAAAACTTGAAGCAGGAGAAGGCAATAGGCAGTGACCTTTGTACCCTGAGCAGCTGGGGCTCACGGGCTGTCGTCAATAGGCCCAGCTGTAGCCAGGAACATGAGAAAACCTGGTAGATGACATAGATGCTGTGGGAGCTTCGGAGCCAGGGAAGAGTCTGCCGTAGGCTCACCTGCCCAGGCGGCAGCAGCAGGAAGGCCACCTTCTTTCGCAGGCCACCCATGTGCAGGTGGATTCTGCAAGGCTGCCCATCTAACAGTCGTGTTTCTTCATAGGCTACCTCTGTTCGGCCGTTTGGTGAGTATTCCCGAGTGCAGTGGGCAAAGGCCCCCTCAGACCCAGCCTGCTCCAGGAGACTCGGTAGCGGCCCCACTGGTTGTAGTGTCCGCCGGGCCTGCCGACCTGGCAAAACCAGGCGGGTGTGGGCTGGGCGGGACTGCTTCACTAGTACACCAAGTAGGTCATAGCAGGCTGCATCCGACAGGAAAGGTACTGCTACTACATGGGGCCCAAAGCGCTCCTCGATAACCTGAAGGCAGACAGTTTACAAGGCAAGGACTGAGTTTGGGTTAGAAGTTAACTGGTAGCCTGCTCTAGTCTACTCTCATTTCACCCTCCGCTGTTTATTGTTTGGTTACATCTCCACAATGTGCTTAAAATGTCAATTTCCTGCTTATCTCCCAGTTCTCTCCTGTAGCAAAATCTTGAATGCCTATTTGCCCGACTGCTAGATACTGGGAAAACATAAAAGAATGTTATTGTATCCTTACTCTAGTACAGTTCAGTGTAATGGAGGACACAAAAATACAAGCAATCTAGCACGCTACAAGAAGTCATTTAACAACCTTGGTCATGATAGTAGAAGACAGATTTCTGGATATTATGACTTGCTTTTTGAAGGAATTTGCCAGGTGGGAGAATGGTCAGTCTGGACAAAGGGAAAAATCAAACCTGAATATACAAACTTAAGAGATAGACATTCAGGAACACATACTTTCATATAACTTAAATGGCAGGGCCTGAAAGGGGGGGGGGCATTAGGAACTAGATTATTAAAGGCTTTGTGTGTATGCTGAGAGATGTTTTATCCCAAAGGTTATAGGAATCCCCTTGAAGGACTCTGTTTAGAAGAGATGGGGTCAAATGGGTGTCACACAGTTAATTTTTAATTGGAAGGCATAAAATGAGAGAGATTTGTTAAGTGTTTTCTAATACTACAGGCAAGTTATAGTGAAGTTCTGAAGTTTTGAATAATGAAAGAAAATAATGGTGGAATTAATGAATGATGGGCAGATCTCAGATTTGTACAATTGTCACTTAAGGAATGTGGAGCTAGTAATCCTCAAGCATTATTTGGAGATTGGTTGGTTAGACGGATGATGCCATTAACCAAAATGTGTACACAAATACATTTGGAATGTCCATTTTTATACTGTATCTATAAAACGTTCAGTATACATCTTAATCCCTAAGAGTTTGTAGAGAATAGTTATTTTAGGGATTTGAGGGATTTCATTTTTGTAATGCTTGTTCCTGTATGTATTTAGAACATTAGGATTCTAATGCTTCTTATGACTTAAGCATAATGGTACCTTCTTGGCCATTGGGAATTAGTAACCTAGTTTCAGAAAAAGTTACTTTCATGACCAACTAGGAAAATTTAGTGGATTTTTCTAGTAACTCTGCCTAAATATGATCTTGACATATCCTAGATTGAGATTTCTGGCTATGGATTCTGCTAGGGAAGCATGCAGAATTTTTTCTTGGACCTCCTTTTATGTTTAAGCTGTATCTCAGACTTCTGCGTGCTTTGCTTCTTTCCCTCGAACCCAAAATCAGATGCCTCAACCTTACACAGACATAGCCTGTTTTGCTAGCCTATTGATTTGCCATTGGTCTCCTAAGCACAATTTAATTTTGTGCTCTAGAAAGTTGTTTAGGAAGTTCTACCCTCTAAATTAAGAAGAAAATGGCTTTGTGTGTGTGTTAACTCTTTGGATAAAGTGAGATAAGTACAATGACTACTAGTATCTTTTGTCATCTAGTAAGGAAATGCTTGTTTTGATCTGCACTGAAGATTTCCCATAATTTATTTTCCTTTTCGGATACTTTTTTTTTTTCTCTTTTGTCTGGGAACATCAGGCTAAAGAATAGGGCATTGAGAGGGACCAGTGAGTTGCAGAGGTGAGAGCAGCACTAGGTTTGCATTTTTATGTAGAATGTCTGTCTCCTAACAAAGCTTGGTCACAACACAAAAACTTCAGAATTCTACCCCAGCAACAATTCTTTTGGTGCCTAGGTGCCTGTACAAATGAAACAAGAGGTATTGTCTCTGGAGAAAAATCCCATAAAGAGGAAAATGTTTTTTATGATTTTTATAAAATATAAAATGTTTTTATATTTTATAAATATAAAAATGCCTGTTTTTTATGGTTCAAGTTTCCGCCAAAAGGTTAAATCCTTTTTCCCTTGGAGTCATAGAATATGATATGTTATGGAGACTTAGTAGATTCTTTTTATTGGGGGTGTGGAGGGACATTGGGCATACAGACTTCCCTAACAGTCCTGGGACCTAAGGGCTACTCCAGTATAGTCACCTGGACTGGTCTGGTCAGTGCTGGGGCACAGGGATGTAGAACTCCTCGATCTATGTATTGTCTGGGATTATCTGGTGGTGCTTAGAGGCCTCTAGGGCCATACTAGTAGTGCTGGGGACCTTCATATCTATACCCAGCTCTGCTTGGGGGTGGGGTGTGGGGCAGGGCCTGTGGTGGCATAATTTGAATTTGATTCTATAGCATGTAAAGTATGTGTCCATGTCTCTTGAACTATCTTCCAGGCCCTTCCTTTTTTTTTTTTTTTAAATTATACTCAAGGACTGGAGCGATAGCACAGTGGTAGGGTGTTTGCCGTGCAAGCGGCTGGCCCGGCCAACCTGGGTTCAATTCCTCCATCTCTCTCGGAGAGCCCAGCAAGCTACTGGGAGTATCCCGACCACACAGCAGAGCCTGGCAAGCTCCCCGTGACGTATTCAATATGTCAAAAGCAGTAACAAGTCTCACTGTGGAGATGTTACTGGTGCCCGCTTGAGCAAATCGATGAACAATGGGAGGACAGTGCTACAGTGCTACAATTATTCTCGAGGGCCCAAGTTATCCTAAATTATGCAAATAGATCGTGCAGTTCTAGACTAGAGTGACTGATGGAGTCATCATTTGAGGTTACAGCATTTCCGCCTCCCCCCTGTCCACTTTGACTTCTGGGTAAAAGTCTGAAACTTAAAGGCCTACAAATTTAGATAACAGTGGCAGCATAGGAAAAGTAAAATGGTGTGAGATCTTCTTCTTAGATGTGCCTTGCCAAGTTTGAATTTAAAACGGGGAGCTTTAGGTCCACATTCTGTTTAGCCATATGGTCTGCAAAGTGCCCAAAAAACTGTCAGCAGTACTGGAGAAAGGAAACCAGGTCACTGAAAGATGTCCCCCCACTCCTTGTTTTTACCACAGACTGCCAGCATTTTATCTATGTGCCTTTACGTTGACTTTTCTAACGTTTCCATTTACTAAGAGAGATGTCTAATAGTCAGAGAAGGTATATCTTTCTAATACTTAAAGACCTGTTTACTTTCACCCTAATTCCGGTTAATTCTGATTGCTGTAATCCAAGATCAGTCTCTCACATCACTAAAATCAGTTATCCAACACTTGGGAGAGACCTGTTTCTGCTATTTGGGAAACAGATCTTTGTGGTGTGCTACTGCTGCTATTCAAATGGGAGCTTCACTCTATTAAAGTTGGTAGAATCAGGTAGGCACTACTTTTAGATCTATTAAATCTGGTGGATTGCTTTCTTTGAATTCTTCAAATTCATTTTCCTTTAGGTCACATAACTAGAAATCTGATTCCTAAATTCTTCAACCTTATAAATTTGTGCCCATCTAGATTGGGGTGGTTTTATTAGATAGATACCTATAACTCTGACAAGTGAGATCTTCATGTTCTTTGAAATCCACTTAATACCT